ATTTTTAATTAAAAAACACTTTCAGTTTTTGTAAAAATTAATCCTTTATCAAAAGATCTCACTCATCAAGTTTCTCCTTCTCTATCCCATACCCTTGAAAGAAAACTTAAAAGCTTCTTCGCCGAGCCCATGTTTCATAATATTATTATATGAAAGAAAATAATAATAAAGAGAGAAGTTGCAATACAACAAACCAAAACCAAATCTCATCCACATTTATTGGTTCACATCCAATGATCCAACTCCAACTAAAAAATTCTCATCTTTAAGGTTAAAGATGACTAATGAACCACCACTACCTGTCTCCTCAAACTTCAAATGATAAAAGGAAAAAACAGAGAGATGCTAACGAACCAGATGTTTGGTTTTGAAATCCCTCAAAATTAGCTTTTGCCCTCTCCTCTCCCCCGACCGCCGGCTATCGGTAATCCAAGCGACGGCAACTTCAAACGGCCACCCCACATTCAGGTTCAATCTCTCTCCCCGGCAACCTCGAACGCCCTCACTCTCTCTCTTGACCACTCTCCCTCTTGACCGCAACCTAAACGTTTTCCTCGAAATCTTTGAATCTTTGATGTAGGAAAGATCTCTGGAATTTCAATTTCGAAAACTAGTTGGTATTTTCTTAGTTGTTGATTAACTTTCTTTTTGTAGACTCTGTATTTTGTTCTTCAATAAATATATTTGTAGTTGCTATTCATTAATTGAGAAAACTTCTCAACTTTAAAGAGAATATTGGACTAATAATAATTTTTATATTTATAGTTTAATAATAATAATCATTAAACATTATACAAACCAGCATGATAAACAACAACTTATTTGTCAATAATTTTAAAATGTGAAAGACCGACCACAAGTGGATTTGGAAGGATTACAATTAATAAGGGTGACACCATCACCATCAAAACACATCACAATCTCCACTAATATGGTTTGTGTATTATGTGTTCTGCAGCGAAGAACTGGTTCGGTCCCATATTGATTTAGGATTGCCTGTTGCACGCTTGTCGCTGTCTTCGTGTCATCGTTTGGTCCTAGCCCAGCACGTGTGAGGGTAGCAAGAAGGTCGAGACCATTACTCATATTAATGGACATTTTAAAGTAACCTTTTTGTTTGAACTTACCCTCTGAGCAAATCCTGTGCTTCTTCCACTGTGTCATCCAAAATTTTCTATTATTTCCATTTATTACATCAGGCCAAACTCTATTTAGATCATTTTCCAATTGTCTAATCTGAAACACGTAAATTAATCAATGTTAGTGACAAAAAAAAACACACACACATATTTAGTCATTCATTTACCTTTTTCCACTTGAATTTAGATCCATGACAACCTTGTAGAGAGGACCCTTCATGTTGAGGCCACACACCATGAATGGTAAATGATTGTGGCACTGGTTGGACACATATTGAATGGAATTTACAAACCGCTGATGGCCATTGTTGAACGAACCAAAAACTATCGAAAGCTTTTGATTAAAAGTAATTAAGGCAAAGATTAAGATTAGCATAATTTTAGTTGGTGTTGCCATGGTAACTTATGGAATGATTGCGTTGTGCAAACTCAATTTATAGTAAGTTGTGTGTACCTACATGTAAAGATTGACTCACATAATTTAGGGAACATATAAAGAAGATGAGTAAAGAAAATGAGATACCTACATGTAAAGATTGACTCACATAATTTGGAAAACATCTAAAGAAGATGAGTAAAGAAAATGAGATACCTACATGTAAAGATTGACTCACATAATTTGGAAAACATCTAAAGAAGATGAGTAAAGAAAATGAGATACCTACATGTAAAGATTGACTCACATAATTTGGGAAACATCTAAAGAAGATGAGTAAAGAAATTGAGATACCTGCATGTAAAGATTTACTCACATAATTTAGGGAACATATATGTAAAGAAAATGAGATAACTACCTATGGAGTATATAATCAAGCATGTCCTTTTGATTGTTTCTCAAAATTCAACAAGTTGGTTATATGCTTTTGTAGTACTTCAGTTTCTTGCCCTTGTGCTAATTTCAGCCTTAGTCCTTACTATTAAGTAGTTCACTAGATATAAAGATTGCTGATATTACATAAAAGACTTTTTATCCACAAAAATTACTCAAGAATGTTATAGTCAGTTTGATTGGTGACGCCTGAAAGCCATGGTTACGAACATGATATGATATGCTTCCTACAACTATTAAAAGCTTACCATGTATAATGATATATCCCAGGAGAATTTTTCGTCACTTTTTACAGATATACTACTTATGGAGACAATTGCAATTGCTCTATTTGGCATCAATAATGGAATTCTACCCGAAAAATCTTTATATTTAACGTTGTATTCGGACATAATCCATGACCTCATAAGTTCATGTGTATGTTAATATATTAATGTGATTGTATGATTCATCTATTCGTTATTTACACCTCACAATTTCTTAGCTAGCACCATGACATTGAAAGAAGATTGATGATAATTGATACACATGGTTATTATTAAATTGATTTCGAAATCATTACCAAATGAAGAAAATATCAGTTTAAAACTATCAAAATTTACTAACACCTTTTGTTTCTTGCCTTGTACGGTGTTTGTTTGGTTCTGTCCTTATCAAAGGGTGACTTTTTTTTTTCTTTTTGTTAATTTCATCAAGGACAGCAATTCTCTTCTCTTCTTTTCTTGGTATACAAAGTGATATCGTTTATCTCCTCCCATACATGCTGGCTGGTGGATAAGTGATAGAATACAAAAGGAGCGACTCGAGGCGATAAATTAGGAAATTCAATAATCGCGTAGAGAAAACCAAATGCCCTCTATTGCCCTCCATTTAAATTCAATAATATGTCAAAATTGAGAAGATCATTCACTTGAAAAAGTAATTTAAACACTGTAATATTGGTGGTGTAAATTTAGTATTTGTCTTTATTGAAGAATGTCCTAAGAAACCCATTTGTCAATGTCAATTGAAGTGTTCAAGTGACATGCATGATTTATTGATCAAAACGTACTGAAATTGTTGTCAATGTCAACTAAAGTGTTCAAGTGACATGCATGATGTCTACTGAACTGTTCAACTCAGATGTTATGACAAACTTTTTTAACTTTGCAAAAATGCTATAGAAAGGTTCATAGTTTTTTTTTAATTCCATTTTTAGTTTATATTTATAGCATTCTTAAATAGTATCACAAATTCTTATAGCATTGAACCACAATTTTGAGATACTTTTAATAGTTAAGCACGAGGGAATCTAATACCATATTTACACCTACAAAATATTAGAAATTTTAAAAATACATATAATACAAAATCTTCAAATATCAAGCCCACGTCAAATTAAGTAAATATATAGTCTCAAAAGAAGTTCATACAACTCTGAGAATGTTCTATAGAAGTTCATACAATTTTAGAATGTTCTATATATATATATACAATTATCCAAATTTCTCCCAAGTAAATATATATGAAGCTAAATAGAGCACATAAATCAAAATGACATTTCAGGTTCATTGTTCAAAACTAACTGACATATAACCCACACTCAGTACTGCAATGTGATGGATAAATGTTGATGAATCACTAGAAGACCATCTTCCTTTTACAATTACTTCTCCTAAACCGATATTGTCTAGCAACATGCACTTTACTATGTGAGAATAAAAAACAAACCCTAATCATAATATTTCCATCAATAATTTGTGATATGAACCAGTGAACGTACCATCAAACTACATTGAAGATACAAACTTGATGATTGTGTTAATTTTGTTTATTTTAATTTTAGTCAGGGGCTAAGCCAATTATGCCTTAGTTTCTTTATTTTGGGCAACTATTGGCCTTAATAGGATTTTAGTATTTGATTCCTCCTAGGTTATTTTATCGGTAAGCCATATATAAACTTATCATTTAGGTTGTAAGGGACAGTTCACTTTTAATGGAAATTTGAGCTTTTGAGCCGTTTCTTTCAAGAAAGCCAAGAGCGCTTGAATTTTGCAATCCTTGATTATCTAGGTTGCAAACTTGGAACATTCAAGATGGGTTTGATCAACCTCTCTTGTGGAGTGTTCAACATCGAGTAGAGAACTAGTTCTCCTTGCCTCGTGGTATTCAATCAACAAGATAACCTTATTCTAACTCTTCCTTTGGGTTGTGCTAAATTGATTTTGGAGGTTTTAGTGTTTGTCAATTAGGGGTTCATATACCCAATGAATTCCTAATTCCAATTCGCTAGGGATTTCATATACTGAGAGATGGTAAGATAAAAGAACAATCTAAAATATTGCAGTTGGGATTTCTATTCAAGGCTCAAAAGAAATCTAAAGCAACTTTTGATAATTAAGAACTAGCATCCCATGAAAAGGGAAAAAGAACAAAACATTTCTTTGCTAAACTTTTAATCCTTTAAAGTCTAACTTTTGGAACTCAAGTGTAAAATTAAACTACAAATAACTTTGATTGCCATCAGAGAGGATATGATAGAAATTATGTCCATTAAACTGTAAATACTCCTAGAAAATTGTTTTCAAATTTGATGGGGAAGATTTGTTCATGGACTCAATGCAATATAACTGGTGCTTTGTCCTACCTTTAGCTCTAGACATCTCATCCAATTGTAAGCACCTGATAAATTTAGTACTAAAAAAAATGATCGAAAAACTTCAATGACTACTCTTTAATCTTGTTAAATTAGAATAAATTGAGAAGAACACAGAAGAACCGACTGTTCTTTAATGATATAAAGCTTCTTTCATCTGTTGAAATGCTCGGCCAAACCCCATGTTTCATAATATTATTATATGAAAGAAAATAATAATAAAGAGAGAGAATTTGCACAGTACAACAAACCAAAACCAGATTGGTTCAAATCAAGGGACTGCAGTCTGCGTTTTTCAAACAGATTCCGTTGCCTTATTTTCATAAATTGTTTCAAATTTTCATTGTTATTATTATTATTTCTTCTTTTTTTTTTTTTGTTAAGAAAGGGCCCGACCTCTAAATTAATCCAGCCTCCATCTACAACTTTGCTTAGAAATAAATTTACCTTGTCTCACAAAAAGTAAAAAGGGAAAAGGGGAAACAAACAGCACAGCTAATAATTAGAGATTCCAACTGAAGAAGTAAAAACTTAGTTTAGTATTAGAACCTAAAGTTATTTCAGTTGACCGACAGTAAAGTCTTGACGAAAACTGTCACTGCCAACTGTTCGGAATCTCCTTTCAGTGGAAGGTGTAGAAAGCGTTGGGTGTTGAGATTGTACAAAATGAGGTGCCCCTCCTTGTCTACCATTACAAGTTCAACAGAACTCACAAACACCAATGGCATCTCAATTCCTGAAACAGGGTCGATTGTGAATACCTTGGCCCACAAGTTGAAATTTTTGTTATCCATCGCCCAAATTTCGATGGTGGTTTCACTAAATTCAGGATTATATAAAAGCAGAACAATACGTCCCTTCCAAACACACATACTTATGTACTTGTCAATGTCATTCAAAAAACCCTGCGGCAATGGAATGCGCCCGAAAACCTCCTCGCTCATGTCGAACCACTGGATGATTTCACTCCCTCCCTCGCCCTCCTCTTCCGCGATCCAGTAATACATTCCTTCGTGATACATATCAAAGGACGAAGGCTCCGAGACTACAAACCCACAAGCACGGCTTTCGATTTCTCTCCAACCATCGTTCCCCAAATCGTACACTTCCGTTCTCAAACATGGATATCTACCTTCTTCATAGAATTCCACAACCCTAACAACCTTGAAATCCATGGATTTCTGATCGTACCCGAATCCAACTGCGTTCATGCTTGTACCGTTTCGATCGAAGGGGTCCTCGGGGGGTTTGGTGAGGAGAATCGACGGCGGCAGATGGCGAAGCTCTCCAGTTGCTGGATTACAGATGAAAATATTGTCGAGGTTATCGGAGAGGCAAATTAAACCGTGAGAATAGCCGCTGAATACATAATACTCAAAATCTTCGGATAATGGAAGATCCATGTCCACAACAGCCGCAGATGCGAGGGGGAATTTGAGGGAGGAGAGCATGGTTTGTTTCTCCCCAGACTCCTCGTTCCTAATTACAGTACGCTTCACAAGAAGGCTTCGATGTTGGAGAGAGTCGGCAAATTCTGGGTCGTTGATTAGGGCGTACCAGTATTTGGAAACGCACCTGAATCGACCAACACACTCCGACGGGAGCCGCTTCAGAATCTCCATCATCACATCTTCCGGTAGATTTCCCAGACTCGCCATTGCAGACAATTTCGGAATTAACCAAACCAACGCGTCTCCTGCTCCAACAAAAACCATTCAAATTCTTTATGCTTCCATTGCATTTTACGATTAGGAGAGGCGCACTTTTCGTGCTGTGGGGCCCACGTTTTTTTGGATCCAATCAGAATCTAAGCTTTGCTGAAAAAATATCTATTTTGTATCTTTTCTCTTTTTTCGAAAAATCTAATTTTAATAATATTTTTAAAAATAAAATTCTCAAACATCAATAAATCTGGGGAGGAAGAAAAGGTTTGTTTTTCACCCCAAATTGGAGGGTTAAGAGTAATTAATAAAAAGAATTTCAGCCTGAATTACGACTAATATATTGACCATAATTGCTTCCCGATTCTGTATTATTTTCTAAAAAATTTTAAAAGATCTGTTGGTCTTAAATATGGCTGAAATCACACACAGAATCAACCCTCTTTTTTTTTCACTCTGTTATATTTTTTCAGATTTTTCAAATCTTTATAATCCTCCCCATTAAATATGATATTTATTTATTAAACACAAATGTACAAAGATTCTATCTAGAATATATTGAAAGCTTTATTATTATTATTTGCCATTTGCAATTATATAATTGCAATAAAACTAAACTTATAATCTTTCTGAAAATTTTGGATTTGTTTAAAACAAATCATAATCCTAACTTATAAAATCATAACAATATTGTGATTCATTTTCTAAAAGAATAAAAAGTATATCAATATAAAAATAAATAAATAAAATAATACCAACTGGGCGGAAGAAATTGAAATATTGTATCTCTCTTCCCTCGATTGCTAATTTTGATCATCATTGGATAAAAAATAGCATAATTCTCTGGATTGCCTGCTAGTAATGACCTTGTAAGTACTTTTAATCACTAGTTTTGTTTGGTTGTACTCCATTATCTAAAAGTAATTTTACAATTTACAATTGTCAAATTACTATAAATTACTATAAAGGGATGCATACACCGTAAATCACTTTTTTGATAATCAACTTTAAAGTGATTATTTAAAAAGTGATTATAAACTAATTTTTTTATTTCAAAAATAATTTTTAATTTAAATATAATAAGAAAGAAAAAAACTTTTGGCCCTCCAAATTTTCTATACCATTTTTGTTGGTGAATATTAAAGTTGGTCGATGATAAATTTACATGATACCATACTTAGCGAGTAACTAGATTAGCAAAAATTGAGAGAACAAATTAAGTCACCTAGAAAATTAAAATTTCTTCCAACATCTTAGAAATTTGGAGGAATTAGAAACTCCTTCTCTTATGTGATTTAAACCACGTCAGAGATTGCATTGAAAAAATACCTAAACATTAGGGTCTAAAATGAAAATAATATAGATTATCCACTTTATTTACAAACTTAATTCAATAGGTAACACCATTTCTGCTACTGCATAATGGAAATAATATGCGGAAACATAGTTGAAAAGGACTTCAAAAACCTTCTCTGGCTGTTGAAGATACTGCATGCACACTAACAGTGCAAACAACTGCATTAATACTGCAACTCTCCAACTCAAGTTTCTGGTCTTCATTAATTAAGATCCTTAACAAAGAAGTAATCAAGCTGGGAGTTCTTGGCAAGCTCTTGAGCATTTAGGCCATGTCGACTTCTTTTGGGAGATGGCTAACCCTAGAGCTCATCAAGTCGAGGATTTCGATTCCAGGGTGCAGCCTTTCTCGATACAAATTGGTTAAATGTAGGGATAAACCCATGATTGACATGAGTAATGAAGCGTGGAAAGGCGTAGAATTCTCGATCAGGGTAAGCATTGAGCTTGATTCTTCCTTGAGGTGTAAGAACCTAGCATCTGATATTGCCTGATATTGCCGGCAGCTGGTGTGGATTCTTGTTTTGTTTTGTTGTTTTCTTGCAGGTTGGTGTAAGAAAAAAGACCTTACAATGGTTTATAATATATATGGGTTATTCTTCTCATAGACAATTAATTTTGAGATAGAACCTCATCAATATTAATATGGTATTAGAACTCAACAAGCTCAAACGAGCATCTGGTCTAAAAATGGGATCCGGCCATGATCAATGAGCCAAAAGAGCCACGATCTTGAGGGACATATAAGAAAAATGATTTTTTTTTTATAATAGATATCAGCTACTCCTCTTATAGCCAATTAGTTTTGAGATGAAACCCCGTGAATATTAATAGTTGGCAATGGTTCTCGAAGAGTAGGGTGGGGGTGGGGCGGTTTTACTTTGCCTGAATATGAATAATGATTGGGAAGAAGCCATGGCTGGAAGCTTATGTCAATGGCATGTGTGTTTGGAAAAACCAAGTTTTGGGATTGGGGACTCTGGAAAGTTTTAGAGATTTGTGGCCATTTTTCTACTCGGGGAATTTAAGTGAATGACTAAATCTTAGCACCCACTCTAAAAAATAACCATTAGTTTTAAATTTTGCACAAAGAATTTTAGGAGTCTTACAAATACGGTGATTTTCCAACAATATCATTTTCCATGGTTTTCTTGGATTTTTCTTATATTCAACTACCTAACAACCTTGTTTTGAATTCAAATTGTTTTCCTACATTAACGGTATTTTAAATTAATTATTTTAATTATTTTATTTTGAATTTTAGTTAATTTATGATTTGTCATTGCTCTACTGTCCCACATCTCACCATTGTTCTACTGTATCTTGTTCTGAGCCCCATCTGTCTTTGCAACAATAGATTGTGTAGACTGCACATGTCATTATCAAATTAAGTTTATGAATATTCTTTCGACGTTGATTTATTTCTCTTTTCTTCATTTGTTGACTCATCATTCACCATTTCATCGAATATCAATAAATGTATATACCAAATGAGTATTACACTTAGAAAGGCAATACATGTATATATCATTATACAACTCAATTATCAAAATTAGAAGGTCGATAAATGTATATACCAATGGAAGAATTATTAAATTTAGAAATACGTGTATATATCACTATGCAACTTAATTGCTAAAACTAGAAGGTCAATCAATACATGTAAGTACCAATTCAAGAATTATTAAAATTAGGATGTCAATACATGTATATATCATAATGCTACTCCATTATCAAAATTATCAAAATTAAGAAGTCAGTATATGTATATATCAAAATTCAACTCAATTATCAAAATTAGGATGTTAATACATGTATATCACAATACAACTCATTATCAAAATTAAGAAGTCAATACATAAATATACTAATTGAAAAAATATCAAAATTAAGAGGTCAATACATAAATATACTAATTGAAAAAATATCAAAATTAAGAGGTCAATACATGTATATACTAATTGAATAAAATTAAAATTAGAAGGTAACCAATAACATGTATATACTATATAAAGTAGTTCGACTTACGTAAATATACCTTTCAAATTTGGTTTTAAACGACACATTCATGTAGTCGGTCCCACGTAAATTTTTTATTTTAAATTTCTTCCTAAATTACAGGAATGAAAAAACAAGTTTTATTTTTAAATTCTCCCTAAATTATATGGGAAGGTAAATAACAAGCTTTTAAATCTTTCCTTTGTTCGTTTTTCATCCTTCAAAGTCTCAAAATCAAAACAAAATACTAAGCTGTTGAAGAGGCAATTGGACGACAGTGGACTGTCGGTGGGGTGGGACGACGACGCACGAAATGTTGGGTAGCGACGCGGGGACCAGAATTGGGCAACGAGTTATACACCAACGGCCAGAGTGCTGAACGAAATGGGGAGAAACTGACCGGAATGGGACAGAATTGATCGGTATCGGACGGAGGCAACGAGATGTAAGTTTGAGGAGAGATGGGGATGTTGGGCAAAAAGGAGGGGTTGCTACCCTACAAACTCTAAATCCAACTTCTTCAAACAGATCCTCATCAAGTTTCATAAATTTTCCTAGAAATATTCATATGTACCCTTACGAATTTTAGATTTTAAATCTATAAATTTCAAAATCAACCTTAACAATTTTTTATAAATTTAAAATCTATTTTCAATATCTCCTTTCAAAAATAGACTATCAAATTTAAACCATATCAAATTTAAATGGTTTAAATTTGATTTGTCAATTGTTTTATTAAATAAGAGTTGATTCTCTTCCTATTGGTTCTATCAAATAAATACCTACAATTTAGCTTGTATACCTTATTTTTGTCAGAGGAGTATATTGGTCTAAATATTCATTCAGTATTTTTTTAAAAACGTAATTTAGTCATTTAATATCTCATATGTTTGGTTGTCCATTTCTACTCTCATATTTGCTTGGGCCCACATACTTATTTCTTTCAAAGATATTTTTAATCTATTTTTTTTCTTTGTACGGAGTGAATTAGCTGACATCCGATCAATGACGATTGATGATTATTGTGAAACATTAGTATGATACTGGATAATTATTTAGTGTTGATTATTCATCAAGGAGAAACGTTAAATTTATATATATATATATATATATTTTATAAGGGACTTGAATTCCATCAAAACTATTACGAGAAACAAAATTGTGAAAAAATGATTTTAAAGGTTGACTATTATAACTAGTGATAATTCATCAGTTTTAACACGATTGGTGAAAAGATTACTTCTTATACATCTAGTTTTAAAATGTGAAAGACCGACCACAAGTGGATCTAGAAGGATTACAATGAATAAGAGTGGCACCATCACGATCGAAACACATCACAATCTCCACTAATATGGTTTGTGTATTATGTGTTCTGCAGCGAAAAACTGGTTGAGTCCCATATTGATTTAGGATTGCCTGTCGCACGCTTGCCGCTGTCTTCGTGTCATCGTTTGGCCCTAGCCCAGCATGTGTGACGGTAGCAAGAAGGTCGAGACCATTACTCATATTAATGGACATTTTAAAGTAAGCTTTTTGTTTGAACTTACCCTCTCAGCAAACCCTGTGCTTGTTCCACTGTGCAATCCAAAAATTTCTATTATTTCCATATATTACATCTGGCCAAACTCTATTTAGCTGATTTT